GGGTAGTCCAGGATCTCAGGGCAATCATGAAGAACTCAGAGAAGTCCTGGAAAATCTTTTAGTGCACTTGGTCAGTTTTGAATAGGACTGGACTTTTCTGGTGTGCTGACAAATGGCAAAATAATTGCTATTTCATTAGGACAAACAGATCCCTCTGTTCAGTCATGCACAACTTGATATTTAGGAAACCACTGGAATTATGGGATGAATTATGAATTTAGGAAACCACTGGAATTATGGGATACCAGGTGGGAACTATCCCTGGTATCTCTCAGTGATGGGCAAACCCATTCTTTGACTCAATGCGGCCTGGAATAAGCACCTATGAGCTCCTAATCACATATGTGGAGGAGAGCCAGCAGCAAATGAGATGAGCGTAGCGGAGATGAAGGAGAGTGAGTATTACGGTCTGGTAGCTTCTCTGAACTTCTCAACATCATGCTGGAAAAGTTCTGGTAGTCCTTCTAGATAAACATTTACCAGTGAAATCCCAGCAGATTGGCTGATGATGGTTTCTCCTCCTTTATAGATATCGTACCACCAAAGCCATGTGGGAAGACCACTCTAAATCAACAAGTCAAACAGCACTCTGCATAGGGAAGAACTGGGCTGTGAATGAGTAGCACTTGCCTCTTTAATTAGGTTCATAAATCTGGGTCCAAGGCGCCATGGCTTGTGTCGATGACACTGTAAGGAGCTGACGGTCAGCTGGGAAGCCCGGTGGGAGGCAATGGCCACCATGTACACGGCATCATACATCAGAGCCGCTTCAGTCTGTGAAGGAAAACACACATCACATCTTCAGTTCCACCTTCGTTTACCTTCCTTTACCTGCAAAAACATTCTGCCTGCTTCCTTTATCTCGTATTTGTCTGATCTCAACAACCATTCATTCTCCAGCTGAATAGTCTTCACTCTCCAGTAGCTATTTTTCTCTAACATAATACCTCCTACTCCACAGTAAACTGGAGTCATAGCTCTGCTTTGTTTTGAGTTCTTAAAAAAAATAAAACAAAAATACAAAAAATAAAAAGCCCACCTCACCGATGTCAGCCACGTAAGTCTTGATTCGGGGAACAAATATTTGGAGCATCTTCCGTGTTAAGCATGGTGTTAAGATCAACTACATTGAGTTAGAAGTTACGAAGCCTCAACATTTTACTATGAGATTTTGTTTTTTAGGACTTACACCCATTTATATGTTTATTTGCTTGTTTCTATTTGGTAGAAAGGAACAGATTCAAGCAAAACTAATAGGTAATTTCCAAATAGAGATACTTGTGCTCTTTGCTCCCATTTACTAGAGCCAAGAAGGTCTGAGATATGGAATCAAATCAAACAGCAGGTTGTAAGAGACCTTCTGAAAAACAGACCTGTGTAACTAGCTCAGAATACACCTTTTATCAGCATTTGCTTTTTTTGATAGAAAGTGTAAGTAGCTATTGCTTTTGGGGGTTGGGCATCTCATTCTTCCCTTCCTCATGATATTTCTCTCACTTGCAAAATTTCACACAAAACTGCTAGAATTTTTATAAAAATATTGTCATGTTTTCTTAAGGATAAAATCATATAATACCTTCACATTTTAGTTGAGGGTTTTCATCACAAATTTATTTGAAATTCTCAACAAGCTCCCCAAATCAACGGAACAGATAGATAAAACTACTGATGTAGGAAAACTGACCTTTAGACAGGATATTGACTTGTGTAGAAACATACATATAGCCAACAATTGGTAGAGTTAAACCTAGAATTCAGGTCATAGATCAAAGATTATCATGTATTTTTTTTTTTCAGAAATCTGTTGATTCAACATGTATTATGCACTTACTGAGCATGTCTTAATGGAGGTGGAAAGAGAGGGTAAGGGTTACTACATCTTGCACTTTATCCATCTATGAGGCCAGAGAGTATCCCCACTTTAAATCTGTTTCCTGTGCAATTGCTATCATGGCATTTTCCATATGTATTTATAGTGACATCTGTTTCTCAATAAGAATGTGGGTTTTGCAAATGCAGAAATGGTTCAACTTCATTCTCTCTCTCTCTCTCACCTCCCTATATATACATATATATAAATTTAATTTAATATTTATATATAATATATATTTAATGCTTATTTATGTTGAGAGAGAGTGTGTGTGCACGTGTGCATACAGGTGGGGGGGGGGGCAGAGAGAGAGAGAGAATCCCAAGCAGGCTCCTCACTGTTATCACAGAGCCCAATGTCAGGCTTCATCTCATGAACGGTTAGATCACGACCTGAGCCAAAATCACGAGTCTGTTGCTTAACCTACTGAGCCACCCAGCACTCCTCGACTTTATTCTGTAGTGGCTAGCAGAGTTACTGGCATATAAAAGGTCCTTAATAAATGTTTGCAGAAGGAAGTCATGGTATCTCTTGCCTTAAAATGAGATACATTTTTGTGAGACCTGTATAACGCCAAGGCTTTAAGATGTCCTTCTAAGATAAATTGTTTCATCAAGCATCCATGTTCTTCACCATTCTCCTTTATCAATTTGGTGGAATTGAAGGAGAGTAATCTATTGGTAGAATGAGACTTTTGAAACTCAATCAGTAACAATAGCTGACTTTTGTCAAGTTCTTATTATAAGTCAGGTGCTACCTTGACACGAAATCCTCACCATAACTGTTACTCTTTTGCGGTTAAAGAAGTAACCAGGTTAAACAGCATCCCCAACCTAGTGGAGGGAAAACCAAGATTCAAAACAAGGAGGTTGGTGCTCGGGTTTGTCTTCACAACCACGAAACCGAACTAACTGCTTCTAAAGCAAGTTTTTGTCTGATGATTTAATAAGTACAATAATAGCTCAATTATGGTGAATATTCACTGACAACTTACTACACACCAGGCACTATAAGCATTTTCCACGTGCCGTGTCCTTAAATTGTTGAAATGATACCTTTGAAATAGGCAAAGTCCCCATTATACAGACAGGGAAATGTAGACTTGGAGAAGTAACTTTAGGAAATAACTTTGATAGCTCCCTAACTTATTAGGCAAGCGAGAATTTCACCTCAAGATGTAAACTTAGATTTCAGAGCTCATGCTCTGAAAAACCGCTTAACTGCTATGCTATGAGGACCTGGACCTTTTTAGCAGTGGGATATGCTTTTCATAAATTTGTATGTGTAATCACTAGTTGACAAATGGAATGATTTGGTACAGAAGTGTGAGGAGTAACGTTCCAATGATCTAACATTTTCATAAGTTGGGCTTAGAAAGGATTCTGACTTTCTTTGTCAAGGCTGTCTCTGCACTGGGCTGGGAAATAACATGGTTCACAACCATGGGCCTGATCTGTGCTTTTCAAATTCGAAGAAGAAAACCATTTATTCTAAAACCATGCTTCCTCTTGAAGTGCAGTGTTTTCTCAGATGGAAGAGACATGTCCTCTACCTATTTTATAGCACTAATAAACTATCCCTGAATTTCCTTTCCTCTTTAGTTCTGTGCTGGAGGCCAGTGACAGAGCAGCAACCCTCAAGTCATTTTAAGTAAATTTAAAAAAAAAAATTGGCCTGTGTTTCAGAGTTTGTTTTTCCAAATGCGTTTCTGTGCACATTTGATTTATATCGGAAGCCTGAACGAAACCCCATTACTCAGTGCCCCTAAGAAAATCTTTTAACCGCAACATGGATCATGAAACAAGCATATGAAAAGCAGTCTCACACAATGTTTTAGTTATCACAACAGCATGCAATGGGTTAACTTAACAGCATGGGTTAACTCAGCAGGTCTGGGGTGCTTACACTGTACCTATTCAAAGAAAAGACTGACCTTTGGTTACTGGGAAAAAAACACCCCAAACCTTGGCTGATCATAGTGATTTTGTATCTTTGGGGTCTTGGACATTGCTAAACAGTGTCAGCCAACAGTGTGATTTATGACGAATGCCTATTTTTGTTCATCTGGGGCCCCGGGCCGCGCTAGTTCAGTTTGCCCTCAGGAACTGCTGAGTAACTAAGACTAAGACTAAGTAACTAAGGTCAGATATGGGGCTGCTCTGTGCCTACGTGACTGACTCCCGATAAAAAACCCTCACACCAAGGCTTGGGTGAGGTTCCCAGGTTAGTAACACTTCACACATGTCCCACATCATTGCTGTAGAGAATGAAATACTGCCAACACAACTTTTCTGGGAGGGGAACACTCGTAGTTTCTGCATAGTTTCTCCTGGACTGTGTGCCCTTTGTAACTTTTTCCTCTGATGGTTTTAATCTATATCCTTTTGCTGCAATAAACTGAAACTATGGGTCTAACAGGTCTGCTGATTTCTGTGAGTCCTTCTACCAAATCATCAAACCTGAATATGGTCCTGGGGACCCCAACACAATCCAGTGAGATGCTACACTTTAGGAATGAGGATTAGTGACAGGATGTGGCTTTACAGAGTCCTTGCATTTTGCTCTCTTCCTCGTATATAACACTGTTGGGAAAAGCTGGACAAGATCGGGGTGCTGAAGGAAGACTTAGTCCTTGTGGAGCGAATGGGCAGAAAGTATGGATTTCCCATCTTCTCTGCAAATTTAGAAATATTCACTAACCTGGTATGGTTAGTGAATATCAAATATCTTCTCTTCTAAAAGAGAAGTTCTCCCAAATAACACCCTTTCCCTTCATTTCCTAAATTTACTCTCTTACTTGGGTCCTCTATTAAAGTATCTCACCCACAGCATACAGCTAGCAGAATTTGTCTTCTTAGTACGAATTAGCTAGTTTCCCTTGTGGGGGTGGATGCTGTTGAGGAGCCAAAGTAGTGGGAGAGGCAGTGAACATCCTGAGTTGGGAATGATGCTGCAAAGAGCGAGCTGCAAGCAAACCAGGGTTTGGAAATGGGCTGTAGAGGTAGTAAAGATATAATCACGTACTCACAATCTAGAAATTTGGTAATTAAGGCAGCAACTCCAGCAGGTCCAGTGAGACCCGGCACAGAGGTTGACATATTGTAACATGAAGAAGCATTTTTAGCTTTTGAGAGAGACAGGGAGGAGTTGGAAAAAGAGGACCATATGTGGAGTTGGAAAACATACCCAGGTGATTCCACTGGTCGCAGAAGGTCACACAGGTACCAGGGAAGGAGCCATCCTGGGCTCCATGTGCAAGCCAAGAAATTTGTCTCTTGTAAACAAAAAGGATTCTGACTCTGCATTTCAGAATGCCTTTTGTTCTTTGATTGAGTACACACTGGCTTCACAGCAGGTACCATCAAGTAAATTCAATTCTATGTCCTGGAGGCTTTGTAGACATTATCTAATTTAATCTATAGAGCACTGCACAGTATTATTTTACAGATTTACAGATGAGCTAGCAGGCTCCTAGAGGCTAAATAACCTAGTCAGGTCGTTCAGTTATTCAGGGGACTTAGTCAGTACTTAACGTAGGCTTTGCTTATCTGGAATCCCACAGCCCATTGTCTTTCATCACTGGAGTGAACATTTAGGTGGACACTCAAAAGTGCCTCCCTTTTGGGTCATGCTAGGAAATACTCACATGTGACATAAAACTACTGACCTAACTTGATATTGTGAATGCATTTAAAGGACCGGGAAGGCCAATGATAGACTGGCATTGTGTTGTTTCTATGATTCCTATGTAGTGTTGAATCATATATAGTTTTGGTTCACAGTCAGAGAGGAATCTATCCTAAAATGAACCGCTCCATTATCCCAGTCTATCTAAAAGCCAATAGATTAAATCAGCCCAAATGTTAAGGGAAATTTAAATGTAGTGAAAAGAAATGAAGTACATTTCATAAAATCACTCCAACCTCTATTGAGTTAATTAACACTTCGGTTGATAAAACACCTTCTTTTTTTAATCTCAAGATGTTTTAAATAACGAGTTTCACTATTTTTGGACTCTACTGACTCAGTAACAGTTTTCTTAACTTAATTTTAACCATATTTTTATTTTTTTTTAAATATTTTTTTTCAACGTTTTTTATTTATTTTTGGGACAGAGAGAGACAGAGCATGAACGGGGGAGGGGCAGAGAGAGAGGGAGACACAGATTCGGAAACAGGCTCCAGGCTCCGAGCCATCAGCCCAGAGCCCGACGCGGGGCTCGAACTCACGGACCGCGAGATCGTGACCTGGCTGAAGTCGGACGCTTAACCGACTGCGCCACCCAGGCGCCCCTTAACCATATTTTTAAAGTCAACATTTTTTCCCTTTAATTACATCTATGGCTCTTAAGTCTGGAGTCAATATTTTTCATCTTGGACATGCTTTTCATGTTTGGATGTGTTTTGATATATATCATAATATTATTTGATGATATTTTAGTGTATGACGTTCTAAGAAGTTTTTAATAGTTAAACATATTAAAGGGGCACCTGGGTGGCTCAGTTGGTTAAGTCTCTGACTTTTGATTTTAGCTCAGTTAATGATTTCACAGTTTGTGAGTTCGAGCCCCGCGTCAGACTCTGTTGTGACAGCACAGAGTCTGCTTGGGATTCTCTCTCCCTCTGCTTTCCCTGCCCCTTCCCCATTCTTGCTCTCTCAAAAGAAATAAATTTCAAAAAAACATTAAAGAGGACATTAGACAAATAGGTGGGAAGTAAAAACACATGGGTATTTTTAAACATATTTAAAATTTTTCTACATTATATATTTATAAGACATCTGTATATGTATGTAGTGCACACAAAAATATAACTATATAGGGCAACAGGGAAATTCACATCGGAGAGTGGTGGTATAATGCATACAATTTCAGAGAATGCAATTCTATTAGAGTAATGGTGTAACTTAAATATTAACAGTGGTTAGTCTAGGTTAATTTTTAAAATAATATTAATAGTTTAGAATAATCTCTATCTGCACTACTCAGGCCTATTTCTTATTTATAGGAACTCTCTTTGGACTCTTACAGAATTATTTCGGGACTATATGAATATTTTTCATTTAACATCTTGGTCTTAGCAGATGCTCAATTCTTATTTATTTAGTATTAGTTCCTTTATTAAATACATAGTTATTGAAGGCCTGCTTTGTGCCAGGCCTTTCCCAGTGCTGGGGATGAGGCAGATCACAAAACGACAAAGTCTCTGTCCTCATGGAGCTTATATTCATGTAAGGGAAAGCATAGAACAAACAAATCAAAGTATAGTGTATTAAGTCACAGGGCTACAGAGCAAGGGGAAACAGGCTATAGGAGAGAGAATAACAGCAGGGGGCTACTATTTAGATTATTTAGATAGGGGATTCATAGCAGGCTTCTCTGATGAAGTGGCAAACCGGAATCAGGGAGGGTTTTAGGCAGTGAGAGCCACAAATGATACAGATACACGAAGGAATAAAACATGAGATCTGAGGACTACAGACCCTGTGGAACTGAAACCAGGGGACGTTTCATCAGTAAGGTCGAGAAGAAAAGAGTCTGAGTACAGAGGCGACACGAGAACAAAGATTTGTTAGATCTGGGCCCTAGCTTGGAGACATGGGGTGTGCTCTCTTGACTCAGATTAGTCCACTGAGTGCCTTTAAAGCTGCTCTTTAAATTTGCTGTGACTCAGTTTCTACATCCCCAAACGGGTCCCCTTTACTAGAAGCAAAAAGGAAACAGTGAACTGGTAAATGGACTCTGGGTAAATAAAGGTCAATATCATGCTTCATGGGATAAATTTCAAAACTATACCTATTTTTTTTTTCTTTCTATGGTATCTACATGAGATGACGGATACTAACTGAACTTACTGCAATAATCGTTTTACAATATATGTAAGTCAACCTGTTAGGCTGTACACATTCTACAATGTGTACAATTATATCTCAGTAAAATTGGGGGCAAACAATTCTGCATGACCATGGGATCCAACTTCTAGTGGGTGCTGTGTTCTACCACATTTTTGACTAGTCTAGACATGATCTGATATAGCTATACACTCCCCACTTTTAGTGCCCTGGTGAGCCCTTCTCTTCTGTTCTGATAAACCCCTATTTCCTTTTTTATAGTGTATAATAATAACAATAAGCAATAACAGAGCCTAGAGATCTCTTTCTTAGGGGAGATGACAGTCATAAACTTTAGGCAAAACAGGACCTCTTCCATCCATTGGAACTTGGCTTTGTCATGCCTCTTGCCCACGGGACTGTCATTTGCCCAGGTCACCAAGAGCTGTGCTGGGGAAATAGCAGTACCCCGTGCCTGGCCTGAGTCAGTGTGAGTTGTGAGGCTCTTTCCTCCTTATTAATGATTTTCCTCATCTCAGTCAATATGTACAAACTGTCCTGTCAGCTCAGTATAATTGAATACAACAGATGCTTTTAAAAAAAAAAATAAATAAATTAAGCCATCCTTGTGATGAATATTTACTGTTTGGCATGAATCCACAATCTGTGTTAACATAGCTCCAAACTGTAACTTTTTTAGTGGTATATACCAAGCAGAGGTAACAATTATTTGAGATCTTATCCTATGATAGAAGTCTCATTGGGGGCAGGGAGTATAGTCAGAGGGTTTTGAGCCATATTTGAACTCACTGGAACTACAAATCCAAGAGGAAAACGAGAAAAACCAGTGTATTAGCATAGCTCTCTGTCTCTCTCTGTCTCTGACTCTTTCTCTCTCTCTGGCTTGCTCCTCCCCTTTCAGAAAGCCTAGTATTTCCTCAGATATTCTCTACTTGTTCTTATTCAAAGCAACATTTTAAATTGCCCAAGGCTCATTTGTACCAAAATGCTTCCCATCATTATCTCTCAGATCACTTTGTGTATTTTAAGAGTTATTTCAGGTTTGAAAAACAGACAGGGAGCTTGAACGTGGAATCATCCAGAACCACTTCATTCATTCATTTATTTTTTCTACTCACTTGTTTCTCATGAAAAAAGAAATCCCAAGTTCATTTCTCTGCAAGATGATACCTTTCAGTTATCAGTAAATTGCATCTTTAAAGCAAGAGTGCTTCTCCCGATGATGGCAAGAGAGAAATGAAATACTAGGCCAATTTCAAATGCTATTACCTGCCTGCATTCCCAGTGTCTTTCCCTTTAGATGACACTGTTCCTACATAGAAAGCTTTTTTTTTTTTTTTTTTTTTTTTTTTTATCTCCTGCTATTTTCTTCATCACACAGGGAGCTTCATTAGAGAAATAAAACTAGGGTAGGTGCCTTTGACAACAGAAGACAAATGATGTTAGCAAGAAGCTCTCTGATGAGGCAGTTTGCAATTTATCTGTTCAGCCGAGTACCTCTCCTTTGTCAGGGGGTGGGTCTGGCAACTGCTTCAAGAGCCACATATGGCTGGTGTGAATCACTGTCAATGTCTGCAAAGGTGTTCCTGTACATATCCAGGCAGGAAGAACGTGAACACGCCAACTGTATGTAAATCTGGCACTTTTCCATGTGTGCCGCCGCTTGCTGAGATGTGGCAGAAATGAGGAAGGCAGAAATGAGGTTCTGTCTAATTTTTGTAGGCAGCTTATTCCTCTTCTTTCTCTCCCTTCTTCCCAAGGCCACATTCCCAGGGGTAAAACTCTCTCCACTTACCCTCGCTTTGGTTTCTGCCTTGGCTCCATCTGGCTGAAAATGGTGGCTACTCTTATTAACTTGATCTGAGGCGTGTATAGCCAAAAGGCTGAAAATAGCAGTTTTTGAGCGTAGCCATGCCGAGGCATTGAAAATACCTGACAAGTTTACTCCTTCTTTCACTCAAGTCAAGGCACAGGTTGTGATACGTTTACTCACACTAGGGAAGGCATGCGAGATTCTTAACCCAACCCCCGAGGAATTCAAACATCACCTCAAGTGATTCTATTTTAAGACTACTTACTGTCATCATGCCATCCAAAAGGCCAGTCTCTGGCCTGGGGGGGGCCTGCAGTCTCTCCATGGACCACTTTTCAATGATGGAGGACACGCGAGGGTTGTCAATATTAAGCAGGCGAAACCCGGTCATGTTTACACCACTGTACCTATAGAGTTCCAGATCTAAAGCAAATAAGTCCTGCGCAGTATTAAAAATGATAAAAGTAGAAAGGGTTAACATTTTCAATGCTCTCTATGCAAAAGAGAATAACGATCGCAGAAGCAACAGATTAAAACTAAAATGGCAAACATCCTCATGCCACTTCATGAAAGAACATTTCCTATGGTTCTTCCTTTGTGTGCTGCCTGAGAAGCTCTAAGGCAGTGGACAGTTTTCATTTGCATCTATTTTTTTGCAACACTGTTAGAGTTTGGGCAAATCAAGAAGAGGAATTTGGCTGTCAATAATTAGTATGCCCTTGGGTATTCTGAGAAGTTGGAGAATTCTGTCCGGGGTATAGTGTTTGGGGTGTTGGAAGGTATCTTTGTGTCCACTTGTTCTGATGCTTTTATTTTATACACGACAACACTGAAAATCTGAGTGGTGATGTGATTGGTTCAAGAATGACCTGCTTGTCAGTTCCTCCCTTCTCCATCACATCTGGCTGCCTCAGATCTTATAAAGGTGGTGGAATTTGGAACTTGCATATGCACTTGACAGGAAGATCATTTCCAGGAGGAAAAATTATCATTTCCTGGCTCATTGAAAATCACCCATGTCCCATACATTGAGTGCATGAAGAATGTTCACCGGACACAAGCTCTGAATAGGAAGCGAAGGGTTCTCTTCAGAGAATAAATTGGAGCATAGAGTTGTGTGAACCTGGGTATCACAACAGTAGAACTAGTTCCCTGTCAGACAGCGTTTCCAGAAAAAAACATTTAATCCACTCGTGTCTTCCATGACAGAGGAGGCTGAGTGTAAACCAGGGGTTTATGTTGATTCATATTTAAAACAGACCTATGCGATAATTGCAACTTTTTTCTTATGAAGAAAGGTTTGACTCTAAAATGCCATTAAAAATGCCTCACATTGAAGAATAAACCAGACTTCCAAAATAACATTTAACAGGAAAAAAAAAGAGAAAAACTTCCATGGAAATTTCCTAACGGTGTAAATGCTTTATGGAAGTGCAATGCAAGATAATATATTATCAGTGATGACCGCAGTTCTAAGGAGAAAGAAGTAGCTTCAGAAATACCTCATGATTTGTATTTGCAGAAGATGCATCCAGATTTGTTCTTTTGAAGAATTCTTCTCTATACTGCCACCCTTTACCAAGATAATGTTGGATTAGACTGTAGAATTTTAAGAGGGCAGCTCTGTGCTCCTGGCTCAGTATCAGAAAAAGAGTACTGCCTTCTAAAGTGTTATATATATATTTTTCCCTTTGTACTATGTAACTCTCTTTCTCCTTTTAAGTTTTATTAATACTCATGGGCAAGAAGGGTAAGAATATATAAAAGCAAAGCATGGAAGAATGCAGATAAAACCAAAGGAAAATGCTTAAAGAAGCAAATTTAAAGAAGACCTAGAAAGATTTCCACCCAATGAATGGAAGAAAAGTTACTCAAACTACAAGAGGTCAGACAGAAAATTCCAGAATGCACATGGAATCCTTCACAGACTCCATAGTACATAACGCAGTGTGCTAAAATGGATACATTACACAGGTGCAAAATTAGGTGGGCTTAAAAGTTGAGGTTTCTATGCAATATAGAATACGGAAAGTCTAGGGTCCGATTTGCAACACCTGCTTGTCAGGGAAGGATGAAAAAAGCAAGACTATGAGAGTAAGTTGTTTGTTCCTGAAAGGTCTCTGTGAAGACCAGCCTTTTTCTTTGTTCATATTCTTTCTCAAATTTCAACAAAACTAGCCTTAGGAGGGTGCACAGCCAGGGATGATAGAAATTTCTGTGGCAGGTGGCCATGCCACCTTGAGTAGAACCCAGGTATTCATGGTGATGGGGAGATGGTTGTACTTGTGACCTAAGATGCTTTCCAGGTCTCAAGGTTTCCCTTGACTGTTCTGACAGAAGACCTGATTAAGATGTCCATGAGGGAGGGAAGATCATGGAAACTTTAGTTCAAGATCTTCTGCCCTGCATCCCACTCCCTTGTCCCAAGCTCTGGAGCAGTGATGATTTTGGCACTCGCCCCAGAACATTGGTCTCATGATGTCCTCTGTACCTCTTCATGCTCTCAGAGATACTTGAGTGAGGAATAGAATGAACTGTTTCTATCAGTAGTATTTATTCAAGGACAGCTGGTCCTTGTTCCAAATTCTTATATTTCCCTTACTCATCAGCCTCCCTTGCAAGTTTTATTTGGTAAAATGGTACTTAATACATTTCTCAGAATCTGGGTGGATTTCAGTGGACACACCTTAACAGAGTAGTAAAGAAGGTTGGTTTTACGTTTTCTTTTCATGTAAGAAAGTGGAATGTGTGTGTGTGTGTGTGTGTGTGTGTGTGTGTGTGTGTGTGTTGGGAGGGGTGTAGTGGGGGGGCACAGATTTTTGAAATTGAATGAGAGCTATCACATCATTCACATGTGTTCAATGCCCTAAGTCATTCTCCCTTGATCTGATACTCTCAAAATTTAGAGTGTTGTTTCTTAATTTCTTAGGCTCAGTGCCATTTTTTTTTTTTTTTTTATGGTGAAGAATATTCTCTGTGCAAAGCATCTCTGATGCTCCTTTTCTTAATGGTCTTCAAAACACCTGACAGGTGACCCCTGGCTAAGCCAGCTATCTACTGGACTTGGGCAGGTAAATCTCATAGATCAAAAAAGCCAAGATATACTTTAGTGTGCCTTCTAATGTATATAGAAAATGTAGATGATTCTTCTTTATGCATATGCACTTTGACAGTTTCTATTTAATGGAAGTATCATTTTAATCCCTTTTCAGATGCATATACATAGATGCTAGTTTAAAAAAGAAAAAAAACCCTGCTGTTCAGCATTTCTGGATTTATAGGTTTCTTAGGAAAGTAATACAAATCTCCATGACAATATCCTGCCCCTGACACTGGTGGGGATGACTTTGAAATAACTGGAAATGTTTCCTATAGCATGGAATACGTTTCTACCAGATGTGCTTACCAGGGTTGTGAAAAAGTAGTGATAGTACTCAGTCATCATGCCCATGAACAGAATCTGCAAAAGAGAAATACAGGGAAAGAATCAGAAACAGAATTATAATAAGAAATAGATCATGAGTAGGGCAATTGCAATAGCTTGAGGACATAGAACAGGAAGAGGCTTTGGAAACCCATGGATTCAGCAGATCAGAAACCTGAGACAGATCAGTAGCTGATGTGGGCTGATATGGACCCAGGCCATTAACCTCCATCCAATATTCTTTCATTAGACTATGTTCGATCTTCATTGAAGTGGCAGGTCTAACGATCAAATTTAAAAATAGTTTATGCTCACCAAAGTTAATATTTGGAATTGTTCTTAATAATGCAGTGTTTTACTTTCTTTATTGCCTAGGTTTCTGAGTAACACCATGCTTAGATAGATATTTTATTGATCTCCTTAGCTTTAATACTTACCGTAATGCCTCAGAGTAGAACTCATTAAATGTTGAATTGCAATACTGGTATGTAGATGTATTTAAATGAGGATTTATACATATGCATATCTCTGAAGCCTCTCTCTCTACTGCTCTCCCATCTTACCCCACAGTGTGAGGAGGGGAAAAGAGGATTTGTTTACAGATAGAAGGATGGGGACCATTCCTGTACAAATGCCACACCACCTCTTAATTCTGATCCCCAGTTACCTACTTGGGATCTTGACAGTTCCAGACATTCTGTGTGTATTGTTTTTACCTAGAAGGGGAGGGGGAAAGAAGGTGAGCAGAAAGGACAAGCTTTCTGGGTAGAGGTAGTTTATTAAACTGTGATCTTATTTTGGATTCCTGGAAATGGTGTCCACTGAGGAGAAATAGTTGCAAATGACTTGGAGATAAGCAACAGTTTCTAAATCTCCCAAATCAAGGGCATCGCCTTCCTTGGGGGCAGGTCAGCAAAGGACTATTTGGGTGCTGTTTCTCGGTATTTGTATAGAAATGAATGCAGAAGCCTAGGAAATAAAATTTCCAAGTCGGTTCTCCCCACAACTCTGATAAATTCTGAATGCAAATGAGAATACCCTCTGGAAATTTTAAAATCGGATATTCTTAGACTCCATTACAGAGCCATCCTGAATTGGAATTCCTCAGAGCAGAGTTTGGATTTCTGTATTTCACAGCAGTGGTTGAGAATCACCAATATATGGAAAACATGTCCATTCACAACAAAGAACAGACTTTTATAACTGCAATTGAAGAAATGGATTGCAAAGATCTCAGGAAAAGCAACATATATTATCAGAGGTCCTAGAAAGTGCCTAAGATATGTAAACTAGAGTGATTTCATGTGAAAAGGTATAAAGAATGAAGAGAGTATTCAATGACAGCACTGAACACACCAATCAGACACTTTTTTTGCCCTCTTCTGCTAATGTGGAGACCAGAGGAATATTTAGTGAAATTGTAATGTCACGAAGGTAAGACAAATGACAGGAAACTCTCTCTGAATCCTGAGCCCCACCGTGTGTAAGTCACTCCTATGGTGATAACAAGACTGAGCTCACAAAAGAATTTTAAAAAGGGTAGAATTGCTTTAGGGCCATCAATAACGTTTAAAGCCATGCATGGTGAGGTCTTGTTAGCTGGTCTCTTATATCATCGGAGCATAAAGAGCTAACCTGCCACGGTCAGTCAGGAATCCAATTTTTCACTTTGGTTGTTAGATAGTGTAATTGCAGCCAAGCCTACCTCTTGAAAGAGGACTGGGCAAGTTTTATGTCAAGATATAGAGCTGGACACTGAGGTTTAAAATATTGTTTCTAACACTGAAAAAGCAACAAAAAGGCACCTGAGTTTTCAGCTTTTCACTGGGCTGACTTTTCTTTTAAAATGTGATTTCGGAGGGGCTCCTGGGTGGCTCAATCTGTTAAGCATCTCACTTTTGGTTTCGGCTCAGGTTATGATCTCGTGGTTCATGAGTTCAAGCCCCACATTGGGCTCTATGCTTGGCAGTGCAGACCCTGCTTAGGACTCTCTCTCTCTCTCCCTCTCTGCTCCTCCCCTTGCTCATTCTCTCTTTCTCTTTCTTAAAAATAAATAAGTGAATTAACAAAATAAAAAAATAAGAATAATACGTGATTTGGAGACGTTTGGTCGCCAATTGAGGGCATAGGCTTTTTTTTTTTAAACATTTTTTGATTGGATGCAAATATCCATTCGATATGCCTCGTATTTAATGTCAGAAAACAGTTATGAAGACACAGTGAATATTCGTCTAACAGGTCTACTTTTATTGCAGATAGAACCCTTGGGTCATCTGGGTATACTTTTTATTTGGCACGCTAGAAAAATCTCCATTCTTGACTTTCCTACTTAGTGCCTGGGTGAGTTTCTCCTAGTTCTTCCTTTGAATTTCCTATAAATGGAAAATAAGAAACGAGTATAGTCATGGATCATTCACCTGCTACCTTTGTGTACTCACTAGGACACAGGTGATTGAGAAGCTTCTAGATAAGAATAAAGCCAGTAGCATCAAAAGTGGTGCTTTTTAAGCAATCATCCATGTAAGAGTCTGTAGACTGGTTGGGGCCAGCAGTTTGTCATCTAATAATAGTATACTTTATAAATAAAAGTATTGCGTTCACATGATGATTTTCTCTCTGCACATTGGTATTTCCACTAAAAGTCATTAAGGGATTAAGAAAATGTCACATCAAGATAAATGTCAGTTTTTCAAATAAAAAAGTATAATCATGATATGGGGAGTTTTCTAATCTTGGCAAAACTGACTTTTTCCTAAGAAACGTTACCCTCTTTGAATTTTGATAGCGTACTTATCTGCCCGACTAACTGAGTGGTGCTGACCTAGGCAGTGTGTACCTTACCAAAGCAATATTGCTAGAAACTAGTTCTGGCTATCTCTAAATCATTTTTTACAGCACTAAACACACCACATCGCACACATTAATATGAAATGAATGTGGCTGTCAATACTGTTTATATTACCCTTCATTCTTCCACTAATATATTCTTTTGATAGTGTTTGTTTCTTAACAGGATTATTCTTATTTAACAACGCTTGACATCATATCATTGACCTCGATTGATAGACAGTAAAAACTCCAGCCCTTTCAATAACATTATCTATCTGTAATAGGGGCAATACTGAGAATCCACTACTCTTCTTGATTTTAGAAGACCCATAGTTTAGACATCATTGATGCCATTGCCAATTTCCCATCTTGAAACGCAAATGGCAGGATTGCATTTCTTGTTCTCTTGTACTTGGGGGGAGCCATGTGCTGGTTTTGGCCAAAGAGGTGGGGAAGATCCTGACACGTCACCCTCCAGAGACTCACCCTGGATAGGTGATTACCATGGTTATCAGGGCCATAGCAAGCTGTTTTTCTTCTGAATAAAAACAATTTTCTGTTGCATGAGTTTTGCAAGGCATGGAGGTGTTCTTTTTTCATGACTTTGTTTTGACTGCTGGGGAGTTTAGGGTGAAAACTGTGGGTTCTTCATTAGCAACTAGTAGGAACGCAAAGTATATATTTATGTGTGCTCATGCCATTCAGCTTTGTTTTTCTTATCTAATATTCGTCTTTGTTCCAACTCCTCTACCCTTTAAAATGTATTTATCACTTTGTTTCAAATGTACTTTCTAGGCTGCTTTAATTCCTTGTGTAATAGAACTATAGTGCATAATAAATAATCATGATTGGGAGAAGCTAAAAGATTTTTTTCTCACGAAGAGGGATGAACTGTTTGGGTCTGAGGTAGCTGAGTTGGGTTAGAGTAGCAAAAAAGGCCCCCCAAAATGCTATTCGTTGTTAATAATAAGAGCTCAATTATAAGAGCTCAAGAGAGACTATGGTAGTTAATTTTATGTGTCAACCTGACTGGGCCAGTGGATGCCCAGATTAAACATTATCTCTGGGAATGTCTGTGAGGGTGTTTCCAGATGAGATAAGCTGTTGAAATGGTGACTCAGTAAAGCAGATGTTCCCCTCCCTACAATATGGTGGGCATCATCCTGTCCACTGAGAACCTGGATGAAACAGAACTTCAGAAGGAGGAGAATATGTCCTTTTACCTCCTGCCTGATTACCTGAGCTGGAACTTTGGTTTTCTCCTGGCCTTGGACTAAGATTTTCACCACAGGCCTTTCTGGTTCTCAGGCCTTCAGACTCAAACAGGACTTACACCATGGCTTTCCTGGCTCTCCACCTTGTGGATGGCAGATTGTAGGCCTTCTCAGCCTCCAGAGTCATGTGAACCAATTCCCCAATAAGTCTCTTCATATCTCTCTCCTATTGGTTCGGTTTCTCTGGAGAACCCTGACTAATACAGAGAAGACTACCAAAAGACTAAAAATCTTGATACTCTGAATACATTTGATATTCTATGCTATCTAGAAAACATAATCCTTAAGCCAGCAAGAGGAAGGGTGGCTGATACCTATTTGAAGAGATTCTCTGGATTAGGATATCACGGAAATGCCACATACTATTCTGTTGTTTCAGTGGCTAGAAAATAATTCCTGTTTTTTTCCCCCCCTTTGGTAGTTAAAATGAATCATGAAGATAGAAAAGAACTCATTGACAGTTGACTCTCAAAAGGACAATTCTAATGGTCCCACCATTATCAAAATACCCTGGGGCAGTTACTGCTCATTAACAATGGTGGCCTCACCTCCGCCCATCCACTCTCTGGAATTTTTACAATAGGACACTTATGACCTTGTTCACAGTAGCATTGACTTTCCTTTTCTATTCTCAGCAAAGACTATCTCTTGGAATTAGATGGGTTATCATATGCAGCCCAAGCAGCACAAAGATCACATTTTAGTTTGTCTGAAGAGCCCTCATTCAAGTCTTGAGGAAGATAACCGAGATAGTTAGTGGGCTCTAACTCCTGTGTTTAGTGACAGAGTTGGCCTATGAGATACCTGGAAAGTCTCTGGGTAGAAGTCTTCTGATAACATTTCCTGGTATCTCAAGAAGTCTGCACCCTATTTGAGCCTGATCACTTTCTAGAAGGCAATGCAGTGCTATAGAGGCAGTAACAAAAAATTCTC